AGGATTGATGACTTGGAATATAATGATTATTCAGTAGGATGCATTCAACAGACTTCAGGAAATAATGGGTCTGGTCTTGCTGCCAAACTGAGTTTTCGGTCTGTGTATGTCATAGGGAGAAGGGTACTCTGTAGGTTTTTGGAAATTATTGCACAAACAAGATTGTTTTCTGACATATTATCCCTTCTGACATTGATGATAAAAACACAGCAAAAAGAATTTCAAGAAGCCATCGGGGCAAGAGAAAACTGCAGTTCAGCTGAGAGGAAGAAACTCCCCTTTTCATGTAAAGCTATAATTCTATTCGATGGTAAAACTCATTTGGAACTTCCCTAATGAAAAATTTCACAAAGGATTCATTTCCATTTTCTTTTCTCATTATTGTTTGGCAGTCAAGGTTGCAGCTAGATCGCGCTATCCCAAAGACCCATTTGAGTTCAAGGACACAACTCACAATCCTCGGCTTGTGGCCGAGCCAGGTGAAGGAGTTCGGGAGCCCGTTCCTCTTTTAATAACCGCACCCCTCAGTGTTCTCTCCTAACGTGCTGAGCTCAGTTGAAGAAGAAAGATGTACTGTTGTCGATTTCAGCATGCGTTCAGCTTGTTGGGCAGCAAAATTCCAAAAAGAAATGCCATAGCCAACAAGAAATAACAATTGAAATGACCCTGCCTCCAAACTAGCAGCTTGCTCAAGACTTTCATCGGAAGCCCTATTAGCTAGATGCCTTTGCGTTCAAGCCACTTTGCATGCTGCTCACTCTGAGTGATTCCAGTGTGAATATGACATTACTAATGACCTGTTAAGTGTGTGCAGATGTGGGTTTCTCCAGATGTGGTGATTCATAACGTAATGGAGATAGCTGGTTGACTCATGTTTATAGGTTGTTTGCCTTTTATTGCGTTTCCGAGTTTATTTGCTTTGAACTGTTTTTTTTTTTTTTTTAACTCCAGCCAACAAATTCACCTTTAAGTGTCAAAGGGCCTCATCCCCCTAAACCCTGTCAAGGACATAAGGAAGGGGGGATGTGCCCCCGGCTGGACCCAAGCACTGGGTCCATCACATTCAGCATTGAGCTATTTTGGGAAAGCTGAAAGTTGGAATCCTTGCCCTATTTTACTCAAAAGGCCCACAAAGAGGCATTGGTAACCCTGACACGGTGTTTGCAAGCTGGCTAGGACAATAAAGAAAGGGATTTCTATTAAAAAAAAAACAACAGTAAAGTATATGATCATCTTGAAATAAGCCCAGAGTTCTGGCCAGTGTTTCTGGTGGATGTTGCCTAGCTTTTGCTTGAAAACAGAATGCTGATGAAAAGTCGAGTAAAATGTTGTTACAGATGTTCGACTCTGCATTAAGGCTGTTGGAATTACCACCACATCTTAAATCAATTCCCAGAACATTGTCTGGAGGTTATGTCATTGAAATAATGAATCCTCTTTAGTCAAGTATAAGCAAACATGTTAAAACATCATTGTAACTTTAAATTAAACTCTAGCACAAACCAAGGGATCTGAAGCCTCATTAGACTTGCCTGACATTTTTCTAGCACTGAGTCTTCCCCAACTGTAAAACTGTTAGATTCAGAGCCTATTAGACAAGTGAGCGCTGGGAAGTTACAACAGCACATTAAGTGTTATACTTAGGGATGTGCAAAAACAAGCCCTTGAATTTTATGAGTACTTGGAGACTGGTTGGAGTTCAGCTCCTATAAAAATTCCACATTGGATTCCTGAACTTATTTGTGTTTTAGAGAAGCCGGTAAGTCAGGTTCCTTTCAAAGATCGTATCTTCATGTGCTTCCACAGCATGATGCAAGTGAAAATGCTGGAGACAGAGGTGTATTGTAATTAGCCAAAAAGTAGGCTAAGTAGGAGCCTGTAAATGTGCGTTGGCATGAAGTAGAGGCCAATTACTTCAATACATTTGTCTTTCATGAAAGTAAGTAAATTTAAGTCTTCCTTTTAATTCAATTTTTATTCCTTTCATGTAGTCACAGAAGCTATGAAATGAAAATTATATTTTATAGCTTAACTAAAAGTTTTTCTAGATCTGCTTTCTTTAAATATGCAGAAATTGATAGAATCCATATAAAGGATAATAATTAAATATGGTTTATAACCTACTTAGAGAAAGAAGTTATCGCTGCTTCTCTCGTGGGATCTAAGCCATATGTAATGGTCTCCATTACACAATGTTCATATATTTAAGCTGAAGACATTCCCCCCCATCCCCCCATTTCTTCAGGGAACAGATCTGCATTTCCAGGCCTTGTGAGTGCAGGAGGAAACCTTTGAACATGAGTTTCATTTAAGAGAACAAATCCTGGTTTAAATGCAGTATGATTATGATGGATGATCTTTCTGAGTTGCAATGAAAATAAATAGTTTCCTTGCATAGAAGGAGGCATGACTTTAGCACTAGAATGAAGTGTCTCCCTGGAGCTGGGTAACAGGTATTAACTTACACATCTTCCATGTGAAGATCACCGCAGGTAAACAAACAGTGACAAGGTGCAAGGATAATGGGCACTTAACCAAAGAGGGTTATTTATTATAGGTCCAGTGCAAACGGGGAGACAATAGGTAAGCAAAAGAATCCAACAGAATTGCCAGTGAGTGGGACTTCTGTTCAGGTCCTTACTAAAATAGACTCACTGAATAAATCGGATGAAACCATGGCAACATCTGGTGTCCTTGAATAAAGTCAGGCATAGTAGCCTAGGTTAGGTAAAAGACCTTTCTGGGTGTGTCACTCTAACCTTAAGGAGGCCTGTGTGACAGAGAAGAAGAGAATGTTCACCCCAACTAGCCCCACTCACATGCACGCATGTTATTCAGTCTGTCATGTGACTCAACTAATCTAGGTCACCCTGAACACAATATAGCAATAGCAAGTGGTCCATATTAAAAGGTGACCTTGTATTACGGGTGGAATCCAGGCAGGATTTTCTCCCCAATCCTTAGATGAGGAAAATGCAAAAGGATACTTATCCACACACCTCTCTCTCGTCTGTCTCTGTCTCTCTCTCCCTTTCTCTTTCGCTCACTGCCTTTCTACCCCATTATTAACCTGGGATGACTGGCCCCCTGTGCTATGAAAGGAAGATGAATTCAGGTCAAGCCCAGAGTGCCTGTTTGCTTGCGGAGAGATGCATATCAACTCTAAGTGATTTTTTTCAATACCATTTATGTGGCTTGTATTTATTTCCTTTAATCTTTTAAGTGCTGTTTAGTCTCTGTGTGATTTGCTGTGGATACTCATTTCTGATAAGATGCGATATCCTCCCAGCCACATAGTTAGGCCTGGAGCCCTAAGTGACTGATAGGGTCGCAGTCTGAGCCTGGGCCTCAGGGGGGACGGGGCGAGAGAGCAGCTGGTAGAGTGATGGGATGTAGGCATTCGTAGGTGCTTTCTTGCCTTCATTGCTTCTGGAAACACTCTCACCTCAAACTGCATTCTTGTTCCCTTTCCATGTGTCAACCAGAATAGAGACCACCCCCGACTAACAGTGGGATAGGGGAATGTACCAAGTGGGATACTTTGAAGCAGGTTTGGAAAATAGTTGGATTATTAGAATCCCTTGGAACCATGTATTGTAACGTACTAAATTTATTTAGGGTTTTCAGGGAAGTACCATATAATGCATGTCCTGATATGGGTCTTCCTGGGCAATGTCGAGTAGCTGAGATGGCATCCTCCCCCACCTGCCTAAGACTTGTACACCATTAACATATGTCAAGCTTCTTTTGATGTCATCACTGCTAATATTTCTCTTCTTAGCTTTAAGGTGACTGCCGTGCATTCCGGGTTTCAAGGGTGCTTCCTCCCAGTCTGTGTTGCAGTCAACTCTAAGAATCCAAGGATCCTATATTTTTCCTTCTTGACATTACAGCTTTAGCCTGAATTGTGGGGGGTGGGGAGAGGAGGGCTAGGATTTTGCCGCTGATGCTGATGCCCTTGGGTGACAGGCTGGGTGCGCATCTGCTAATTATGAAGCAGCTCTCTTAAAAAAAAAAAAAAAAAAAGCATGATGCAAGCTAATACATCTATAAAGCTTATTAGTGGGTGTCTTTGGGCAAAAGCAGTAAAGTGTGCTGTGTTGTTTGTGAGCGAACCTTCACATTGCTTAGTGATCTGTGTGGTTTAGACGTTTGGAAAACAACCTTGGTTTCCAACCCCCGCTGTCCCCCCTCTCGCCACCCCCACCCCCATCATCAGAGATATCACTCAGTGGCAACCTCCTCCTTCATTCGGGCGCTCTTCTCCGGCTGGTCTTCCAACCTCACAGCCCAGTCTGAATGAGTTGAGAAGGATGCAGCCCCCCCCCCCCCCCCCCCCCGCCCCATGCTCTCCCTCTAGGAGGGCCAAGAGCTGAGCTGGGCTGGAGATCCGTGAGCCAACAGGCACCAATGTTCCCAGTCCGGACTGATTGAAACATTGGCTGTCAGGGGCTCCAATCCCTGCCTCTCTGCAAGGCTCTTCCCCTGGCGTGCAGGGATTAGGCACCAGCTAAGGTGGTTCCTCCGTGGAATCAGCGGGCTGGCCGTGATTCTGCTGCTGTTCCCCATTCAACTTCATTTCTGACTGTGGTTATGGAAAACCCCATTCGATTACTCGGCAAAGCAACTACAGTCAATTCTAAGAGTAACGACTGAGTGTTCCCACCCCCCGACCCCCACATATATACATACATATATATGTATTTTATATACAGACGAATCATGATTTCTTTTCTTTCTTGCGGCAGGGCGCTTACAAACTGGTCTAGTCTGTTTCGAGTGCATGTTCAAAAGCTGGAGTGCTCAGAGGTGATGAGTTCACCTTCTCTAAGCCGGCCTCTTTGACTAACACATTTGGTCTTTGTCACTGGGTCCTAAAAGACAGCCATGAGTTCCTAGTGAGTGACTGAGCCGTGAGTGTGTGTCCTTTGATATCTTGCCTGTATCTCGCAGCCTGCCCTCCAACTGTTCATAATCTCATGAGCTGCCTGTCTTTCCAGTTGAAGATGAGCAGCCATCGACGCTGTCCCCCAAAAAAAAGCAGCGGAACGGAGGCATGCGGAACTCACCTAGCTCCTCACCCAAGCTGATGAGGTAAGAAGAGGGGCTTCGGGCCACGCGTGGGGGCCACCCCCCCCAGATCCCCTACTCCCCACCCTGCCCAGACCCGGGCCCAGAGTCTCCCCCCCCACCTTACAAGCACGAGGCACGAGGCGGGGGAGGGGACCGATCGTTAGGTGGCTTCTTAAAGGCTGGAGTATTTATTCTGTCAGCTTGTCAGCAGTTAATGATAGAGCTGAAAAAATTCTGTCATGAAAAACAGTTTGAAAAGCTGTTTGAAAAATACATAGGCTTTAAAGTCTTAGCTGTCACCATGTCCTGTCTCTGTGTAGTTCCTAAACAGCAGTGGCACTAATGACGGCGCCAACCAATCAGAGGGACTCGTGTGGTTAGTTTGCCTGCGGCGAGTCTCTTTCTGCTGGAGTCCCTCCGAGGACTGTTTGCTGTACTTAAGGCCATATGTGAGATGTATCATCACAATCAAAAATGAACCTGAAGATTACCTTCCTTTTATCCTGTCGATTGAAATCAAATTTCCGTTAATTGATTTTGACTGATAAAAAAGTCTAATAATCTGCGGACTTGCCAAAGCAAAGTTCAAAAGTAATCCAGTTCTGCTCAGGCTAAAAGCAATATTAATTATGAAATACAGCGTAGTGGGTACTCTTTCTCCCTCTCCTTCCTTCCTCCCTCCCTCCCTTCCTCCATCCCTTCCTTCTCTCTCCTTCCCCCTTCCCTCCTTCCTTCCCTCTTCCTTCCCATTTCCTTCCTTCCTTCCTTCCTTCCTTCCTTCCTTCCTTCCTTCCTTCCTTCCTTCCTTCCTTCCTCCCTCCCTCCCTCCCTCCCTCTCTTCCATCTTGACTATGGCTTCCTCTTGGAAATGGTAAATGAAACCAAATTCCAACAGAGTTCTGCAGGTTTCTCTTCTGGGCCTCTTCTTCGTCTTTCATTTTCCCCGGTTGTTTTTGATTCATCTGCCAATCCCAGGGCTTATTTCCTCCAACATCCTAACTCTGTAGCACCTCAGGGATGAAATAGGAGTGATCCCTACATGATCACTGCCATGGAAACACCTGCCATCTTGATGTTTCTTTTTCTTTCTCTTTTTCTTTCTTTCTTTCTTTCTTTCTTTCTTTCTTTCTTTCTTTCTTTCTTTATTTCTTGACATTGGCTGCTCTCTTCTCTTTAATTACTGAAATAAGATTATGGCCATCCCCCCCAACCCCCCCCCCACCGCCCCTTTCCTCTCTGCATACATTCCCATCATCCAGGCCCTCGGAGGCCACCCTTTTAGGATGCAGATGGGGCCATCCTTCTCCCTGCCCTGGAGGACAGGGATTCCCATGGAAGCTTCCCCCAGCCCCTTGTCCTGCTCCATTATGATCACCTCTTGCTGTTGGATGTTTCCTTAACAGTTCTCTCTCTGCCCCTCCACTCAGTCTTGCTGGGGTGTTGTTGATTTACATGCTTGTTTACAGTTTATGAGGAGAAATAAAAGGACCAACTGCCAAGCTTCTCGTTTTTATGATGCCAGTTGTCATGCTAGCATTCATTTCCTATTTACTCATCTTTAGGTAATCGCCTTATCTAATGCTAATAGTTTTATCCATTTAAAGTAGAGAAAAGCCCAGGCACTTCCTTTTGCCTAAATTTAGAGAAGCAAATAAATAAATAAAGAGAAGTCTGAAAAATCTGAAACCTTTGGAGCCAAATTCCCTGTCCCTGTTTGCTATGTAAAGTATGGCTCATTTCTTTGATCTTGAGTAATAATAATTCTGAGGCGTTATACTGTTTTCATATGCTTCAAAGCTGTGTCAAAGTTTTGCTGCTTAAGGGTACTTCTTTATTCTGTTGGCTCTTGGGTACCAAGATGACAGGTCTTCTGTACGAGGTGGAAGCTTTTTTAAGTCGTAGCCTTCAGCAAAACATCAAATTACCAAATCCAGGGTAACATACTTCTACACAAATGCCTTTCCTGTAGATATATTATACCATATATATTAAATACTTTAGTGTTACACGCTACATTTTATGTGCAATAGAAAGTGATGGTTTGAGGTAGCCTTGGGGGGACTTTTTTTCCACAAGCAGAAAAAGCTAGTGTATACCGTATCAAGCATGGTTTTTACAGGACTTTCTGCCCGAAGGCCTTTGTAAATAAGTAATGATCAACAGATTGGCTGTGGGTTTTTGAAAAGCATGCCTATGTCAGTTTGCATGATGGGGGAGAATTTTCAAAGTGGGTCTTGCTTTCATTGCCTGTTGGAGAGGGGCTGAGGGAGCAGTCATCCTGGGCTGGAGCTGTCTGCCCCGTGGTACATCAGAATTGCTAAACGGGGGTCAGGTGGTGTGAGCTGAGGCTTGCCAAGCTACAGAACTTGGGTTTCTGGTGTTGGTGCCTTTGGGCTACTCTATGGCCACAGCTACTGCTTCACCCCACCTGCCCGCAATGGTCTCGACTGCAGCTCAGCTGAAACGGGCTGTCCAATGACAAGTCGGAAAGTCTTCGACACCCTTCCTTTACCATAGAGTCATCTCTATGTCCCCAAATGCTCTGCAGCATCTTCTGACGTGGAAGCAAAGACCGGGTGCTGAGCCCTCTTTCCCCCTTCACTTCCAGCATGTGAGTGAAGAACCCATGGGCAGCTTCGTTTGGTTTGAATATCTGGCACTGATGGTGAGGCTGCCGGCACCTATTCTTGTTATATCCCTCTTGTTGATTGAGAAGAAAGAGCGGGGGCTCATGCTGTACCTTGTGGCTTCTCCAGGTCACCCTACCTCTTCAAACACTCCCTTTCGACTCTGCAGAAGATAGGACTCTTAGGTCCTATTCCTTCTGACCTGAAAAATCCATAAAGGAAGCTAATGACTTATTTGAAGTGAGTTTTTCGACATGAGTTTGTGGCTTGTTTGTTTGAGCAGAATCAATCATTCCGAATGTGGAAAGGTTTTAGTGGCCTATGGGCAGTGATAGGAATAGCTCCAAGAGAAACCAGAGAGCCCAGAATGGGAGGGGATGGGCTTTAATTTACCACTGTGGCTTCTGCAAATAAAACAGGCTCCTACGCAAGGGTTTCTTGCAAACTATCTGCCAGCATCAAGTGCTGCCGGGACTCTGCGCTAATGGTCTTTGTCTCCCTTTTGTTCTGGTATCAGACTCACTCTGGTTTTTCAGTGTCACTTAGCTCTCTGCACAGCCATTAGGTGAACAGCCTCGTTTTGTGTGTCTGGATCCTGATGCACTATGTTTTTTAGTCGCCCTGACAGAAAACAACTCTCACAGCCCGATTGAGCCAAATGGCAAGCGTCTGTGCTCCAAGCCAGGGAGTCCTGTGTCATGACAGATAACCTTTGGCTTCACAAACCCCCCAGGAGGAGCAGGCCATGGAGTTTCCCAGACTCATGTTATTTGCCTTCCTTGTTGATCTCTTAACATGGAATGATTTAAGGAACCTCTCTTAGTTTTCCTTTAAAGTCACCAACCACTCATTGCCCACTTGTCCCTGCTAGTGAGTCTACACCTTGAGAGGATGGCTGTGTTTTTCTTCCATTGCAGGGCTGCAGAGGGCAAGAACATTGTCTCTAGATAACTGAGTCAAGTGTTCTTAATTTGGGGGAGCTCACAGACCCCACTGAACTTCAAATGAAAGCTCTCTAGAAAGTTTCTCTAGGGGGGGAAAAAAGCACATTGGGCACCATTTTGACTACAATTGAAGCAGATCCATGGATTTCCCTCAAACCCTGCCCAGCTTACAATCATAGTTGGTTCTTTCCATGGCCACCTTCAAGGACCTGTATTCACAAATGCTGTTGGATACTAAGAATATTCCTCCAGCGGGTAGATAGTGGAGAGTAAATGCCTGGGCTCTCACACTGTATCCTCAAATGGATCCAAAAAGGCGGTGCATTTCAGCTGTCTGTTTCAATTCCTTTTCTCAGATTAATTCTCGTTGAGCAAATGTTTTTTGAAAGCCTACTGTATTCAGGGTTATAGAAAGTCTTTGAGGAGTATAAAGTAAGATGGGTTAGAATAGGTCTCTGTCTTCAAAACGATCACAGTTTAATGTAGGAGACAGGCAAGCGTATATGGCAAAACAGAGTAGAAACAGCTCAGAGATGTACTAGCATGGGCTGTGAGAACAGAGAACAGAGAGAGCTGCCATTACTTCTGGTTTGGGAGGCTGAGGCCAGTTTGTGAAAGAGGTTTCATTTAAACCTAGCCCTGGATGATGAGGAGAATTTTCTAGTAATATCAAGCCTACCTGTGTTCATTACTTACTGGGTGCCAGGCATCATTACAAGAACATTATGCCTGTGAACTCCCTGAATCCTAACTATAACTGCATGAGTAGGAATCATGCTTTCCTCCATTTTATAGATGAAGAAGCTGAGTAGCAGAGATGTAAAGTCTAGTGAATCTGATGTGTCTTACCCAATTAGGAGGATCTGAACCCCGGTGGTTTAGCTTCAAGCCCATATTATTAACTCTTTTACTCCTCTGTCCATTTGGAAGAAATAAGGAGAGTGCTCAGGCCATAGTAAATGGCTCAATGTGGCTGGATCAAGGGGTTCTTGGAGGAGCATAACTGGAGCTGGAAATATGAGAATATTCTTGTATCCACCCATGAAGGCTCTTGCCCATTATAGGCACTGGGAAATGCTTGCAAGTTCTTGAGGAGACTGTGTTTTAGGAGGATCACTGGTGGCAGTGTAAGGAGAGGTGTAGAACCAACCTTCCATCAGGGCAGCCTTCTGGAAACACATGTTACATAAATAAGTGTGAGGAGAAAGCCCAGCCAGCCCCAGCTTCTGTCAAGGTCCTTTGGGTGCCAAACCACTCAGGGTCTGCTGTAGAATAGTGGACCAGAAGTGGGCCATGGTCTTCCCAAGAAGAACACACAGAATTCCTGACATTAGTCCAAGTTATACCAGTTTCTCCAGGACCTGGGAAACTTAGAGTCAGATAGAGGGGCCATGAGCCATGAGGATTCATGAAGGATGTTTCAGGGAGACAATTTACTAAAGAGATGGCC